GGCTACACCAGTGCAAGGGGAGAGCCATCCAGCTCTATTGCATGAGGTACGGCTCGAACTTTTTGGACGGAGTAGGCTGCACTGTCACGTTGAAGACGGACTGTGCGGACAAATTTTTCCCTCTGATCGACGGTACGCTTTAGATCTCGTAGCTGCTTTGCGTACGCATTGACCGAGGAAGCAGCTTCTTCATCCAGCACTTTCACGACCCGCAGCTCCCTCAATCTGAGTTCACAGGTAACCCAAACCTCACTTCGTCATCAAAACTGTAGGCTCCCGCTTTGAAGCATTAGCGTCGTGGAAGGTTGTCCGATAATTGAGGGCATCGTCCTTATTCAGCTCCATTATTTGGCATCTGCAGCTATCATGCTGGCGTCAGGGTGGTGGAAGAAAGAGTTTGAGGAAGCGCTTGGAGGGGTCGGTGCCGATGGTAGCGGATAAAATCCTTGTCCATATTGCAGAAGAAGAAGCAGGAGTCAAGCGAGTGGTACTAATAGAAAGACCACTCCTTGATGTATAAGTGCTCACATTACCGTTACCCCTCTTCAGGTAATGGCAAGTATTTCGAGTTCGAAGTAGTATGACAGAACTTTCCCGCCAACCTAATATGTTGCAGCTTGATAGGATGCTATGAGGGCACCTTCAAGTGCCTGCTCATAGGCGCTGAATTGTGTGCTGCTAGGGTACTGATCCGACACGTCTTGGGGATTTATCGTGCCACCTGCCTCTAAATATTATCGACAACATAACGAACTCAAAACGAACTGAGGGCTCAGGATTTACCCTTGGAAAGTGAGGGTGATGGCAAGGGCTCTCGTCCAGGCAATGTCCTGCCACTGAAAGAACATTTTTTGAAAACACGAAGTTAGAAAGCATGGAAATACAGGTAGGGTTTCAAACAATATATAGCGCCTGTGAAACGGGAAAAATCGAGGAAACTTGACAACCGGAAAAATTTCTCTCTGAAGCAAATACGATCCCCTACATCCCTCCAGCTACCAAACATGCCCCTCTCACTAGTGATTCCGAAGTACGATGTGCCCTGCTCCTATCCCCGGAACAGCCTGGTACCCCCCCTCACCATACTTCATCTATATAGCACGAAAGGAATTCGACGTGTCCTCCCAAGGGTAGCAAATAAATAAACAGATTAGTAAATAAATAAAAATCACGCCAAGTTTTTCCTTCAATTTTTTGACATTTCTCTCACAACGCAACACAAATAGGATTCTGTACTTTTTAGAAAACCCTACCGGTATGCCATAAATGCAATCAGAAAATTACTGATGAAGTTCTAAAGGCTCAAGGTTTCGACTGGCATACGAACTGCTTTACTTGCGAGGATTGTCATAAATCGCTGAATGGTGTCCCCTTCATGGTCGATCCACAGAAAGTTCCTTACTGTACTAGCTGCTATATGAAGTGAGTCAATCGTCCACAAAAACTCATCCACATTTTCACGGACTTAAAGACACATACCACGTTGGTCGGAGACTCATGACCAGCGACTTAGTCACTGAGGCGACCCTTCCTAGGGCCGTAAGGTGCGTGCCAATGGGAAGGACTCAATGGCTATACGACTCCGCCCATCCGGCATTCTTGGAATGACACGCTTACTCTGCGGTCCAATCCATGGTGCAGGGCAACCTGAACCTCAGGGCACTCCCGACTGGGCTAAAGCAATGTGTAACCATGGGCGTAACCTAGGCGATGATTTCCACCACTGCTATGAACAAACTATCCTTGAAATGGTCCGGCAAATTGGGCCAATATTCAAGAACCAACGCAACCGTCAGGAAAGACGCCACGGCCAGTTCGACGAGGGGGGGGGGGGAGGGGGGGGGCATTCTGCTTCCATCGATGTGCCGACCCATCTAGGTAGCCTTTTCTTGAGTTGACACGTTTTACCATGGTGGCTAGACGAGCTTGCTCCAGCTTCACAAGAGTTCACAAGTTTCACCAGAGTGAGACTTGTAAACCGGAAGTAGTGAAGCAGTGGAAGTGCAAAATGCCCCTCCCCACGTCACCGAACTGCGTCGGAAGCCACTGTGGCTGAACGAAGACCCAGGACAATGCTTCCCCCTACCACACTAGTCGTTGTGTTACTAGTTGTAGTTGTGTTACTTTCAATCAACTGCAGTAACGCTCCCAAATATTTAGCCCATTCGATCAGCACGGGTAATTTCGACATTGCAGAAAGTTCGCCCCACGTTGCGTTGCATGTAACCAGCCGATTACACCACGTGAAGGTGAGACGACAGCGGTACAGTACATAGTAATGAATAAAACATATCATCCGACATGCTTCAAATGCGAAGACTGTGGTATGCAGCTATCCAACAAGGTAAGGGCTCAGGTAAACCGCTCTCAAAGGCATGTGACAATATTCTCTGTTTCAGGGCGGTGACGAAGGCTGCTATCCCTTGAATGACCACCTCTACTGTAAAAAGTGTCACATAAAGCGAAAAAATGATGAAAAGAAATGATTCAAAGTAGTTCCTGCCTTAACCAAATCTCCACCAAGTCCCTCCTAGGGAACGTTCATAGTTCGCGACAACAGCGATTCTTTCGCGCTACTAGAGCGATCGATCGGGTGGTTTGACCGATCTCTGCGATTAGCGGCGGAATGCGGGGAACCGATTTCGGAACCGAGCCTGATCAGGACCTCCCCCCCCCCTTCCTCCCCGTACGCTCGTCGGCGGTTCTTTGGGAACAAGTGGAAGGTTTACTGGAAAACTGGGGAAGTGGTGGGAAACTTATGGGAGATGGTTAATGGGATGGGAAATAAGAAGGGGGAGGGGGAGAAGTCCCGCACAGAGAAGGGGAATTTCGAAGTTTTTACTTAAAATCTTTTTTGCGGAAATTCTTCGCAAGAGCGCGATGCGCCCTGAACCCGATGACGAACCAAAAAAAGATGATGACAAACGCGCTTCTTCGCTAATTGCAGCTCGCGCCATCGAATCGCTGCTTTCTCGAACTATGAACGCTGCCCGTTTCTCCTCATTCATATACATTCAGATGCCTCCCATCACAATAACTCTTATAATTGGTTGTGGCGCTAACGTAGTTAGAGAGGACCACGCTTTCAGGATAGGAAGACCAGAGAGACAATGGCCAACCTCGCTCCTCTTCTCACAGGGTTAGTGATCTTTCCATCCTTCAGGCTAAAACTTATAAGCGCAGACGACCAGAGTCGCCACGTGACCCCTTCCAACTACGTTACCGCCTTGACTGCTGCCAGTGACTCACATTGCCTCTTATCTACCACCCATCTTTCCTATATATCCACCAGTTCCCTCACTTTCACATTCCCAATAAAGTGCGTTCATACTTCACGTCAGCGTTCTGAGCGACTCAAAAAGTATAGGTATTCATCTAGCGTTTCGAGCGTTTGCCAGCCTTTCCAGCCACTAGGAAAGTATAGGTATCGATCTAGCGTTTAGAGCGTACACTGCCGTACGCTTAAAGTATGAACGCACTCCTACCTAACTCTTGGTCCTACAAATAGATATGACAATTAATATTCTGTGTTCGGTGTTGTATATTGCTTTAATTGTCTTATACAATATTAATTACCTACAGTAACCCACTAATCATCCATTTGATCCATAACCCAGCTCAATAACTGCGCATTTTATTTCTTAAAATATCTATTGTACCTCATTTATAGAAATTACAATGCTAACAGTAATGATTGCTACTGGTAATATCTGACGACTGAATCTAACACTAGGAGTTCAAAGAAATTCTGTGAAAAAAGACATACAATGAATGTGACAATGAGATCGCATACGGTTGTGGTGCCATAAGGACGACGAAGTTCACATCAATCTGCTGTCAGTCACGAAACAAGCAGAGTGAAAATTCGTCCGATCACCGGTCGCACGATGCCCAGGTTGTAAGAGGGTGTGTAAAACCTTTTCGACGTTTTTCTGCCAATTTTTTTTCACGAGCATGTCACTCAGTACCTCGCAATTCATACTTGAACCTGACTTTGAATAAAAACATCCTTCAAAAGACATCCGTATTTCAACTATAAAACAAAGCTCAGCACGGAGCTCCACAACTGCCCATTCTCCTACTGTGCTACAGTCACTCGAGAGCATGCTTGAGAAGGGTTCAGACTTCGCGACGCGCGTCGACGCGCTGCAATACGCTACGATTGCAAGTGTTCGAAGAGGCGAACGCAGCCGTAGACGGGAATCGATCGGCGCAGGCCGCTTGTGCACTTATAGTGTGGGAGAAGAAGGAGGGTGTGCATTGCCTAATCACACTGTCTGGTATCCGACGGCTCTGTCTGCTAGGGCTTTAGAAGAGTATAGAAGAACGGGAGAGTACCAGACTGTGTGAAGGCAGCGCCTGATCTCCTGTTACCATACACTCTCTCGAAACAAGCGTCCGACTCCGATCGATTGCCGTATGCGCTTGCGTTCGCGTCTATGCGCTTGGAACGCTGCTGCATTTGCAGCGCGTCACAGCACGTCGACGCGCGTCATCGCGAAGTCTGAACGCTGCCTTATCGCACCTACAATCTCACAATGGCTCATGGTGCAACGGTCATAGGCTTCTCCTATGACCGCGGCACCAAGACTCACTGCGCGATTGCAACTTGATTCTATTGTCGTACGCCTTCGACACGTGTACGGGTCAGGAAGTACGAGTAGGACGTGTCGACGCGCACGCGGCTTACACACGGCACCTAACTCTATGGTCGCGAAAGTGCTCATGCAAGGGGTTCATCAGCCAAAAAAGACAGAGCGGGCTAAGCAGTTTGGTGTGCCGCCGTAATACAAACCTCCTGCCTCGCACCCACTCGACATGTAAGGAATGGGCGCACTGCGGCTTGGAGGGGGCATTTTGTTTCCATCGATTACAGAGTTAAGTTTCTGTAAAGTTATGCAATAGCATAAAATTCGTTCGCACTCGACAAAAGTATACAGATCTCCCCAACGTGAAATTCAACAACTAGCAAAGGAATTAGCAAGTGCGAAATGCCCCTTCCAAGCCGGACTTCGCTTGGGCAATGCTTCGAGCCGGTCGCTATCGAGTTTTGCAAAACAGTGTCTATCTGTAGGGTGGAATTAAGTCCTAACTCGTGGACAGCATGAAAGAATTCTTGCTTAGAAGTGTCTACACAGTTGTTTCTCATGCTAACGCTGGGGCGTGTGGGGGTGCAGAGTTTAGCGAGGGTCAGCACGTTCTCCATCACTCGTTGAAGCGGTCATGCTACAGCAATTGGTGGAAAAAGGGCTGGCAGCGCGCCAAACCTCGCCTCCCGGCAGGCCCCCAGCGTCCACGGCGATCGATTCGAACAGCAGTGAGGAGCTGAGAGCTCACCCGGAGAAATGAGGAGCTCTGCGATCCTTACCACGCGACTTTTCTGCAGTTGCACTCATTTTGACTAGATCCACAGCAATTATTTATTTTTGCTAAGTACACTAATACACGTATTAATATAAGTATGAAATTGTACAGAACTCCACTTAGCTATTGGAACCTGAATGTAACGAAGTGACTTAACAAATACCTGAACAATAACATAGATTTCTACATAAGAGCCAGGACATGAGGACTGCGGCGGCACGGCGCCGCAAGTAGCGCCATCTCGTCATCGTCATCGACATCTATCAAGGATCAACAATGAGGGAAAAATACATAGGCTTGGAGCGTTACTTCCGCGTCTGCGACATCGTGGGAGGAGCGCAGGCTATTTCCAACTGACGTAAGAGACACAGACACGAGGGTTCGCAGACCGGAGACACAGACACGTACAGACACGAGAGAGTCGCACCGCTGCCACGTTGAGCGGATTAGGTCCTAACGCGAATTCTGCATCGCTCCTCTTGCGACACCGCTTTCGCAGCCTTTCGGAAGTAACGCATCACAGCGAAATTGCGACGCACACGATGACCTGTTTGGAGCCGCAGTCCAGATGTTCTGACCTGCACTATGAAATTCTACAACGCAACTACTACACTCACTTCCGCAGTATCGGGCAGTCATCTCAAACAACTGGACATAGACGCACGTGACACCCAAATAATATTGGTAAGAACAGAGTGGATTGAAGAAAACAGTTGGCAGCCAAACGCGGTGAGCGCAATGGCTGGCGGCGGGCGGCTGCTGCTAGCATCATTGGTGGAAAGGCTGGCAACGGCGTTTGGTTACACCCCACTCAGCCCTTCCACCAATCATGTTGGCGACAACCGCCCGCCATCAGGCATCGTGCCCACTGCCTTCAAAGAGTGCTGAACAATACAAAACAGGGCATATAAAGCAGTTGGGGGAGTTAACAGAGGTGATATAAAGAGGTCAGGAGAGTCAAGAGAGGTGATGTTAAGAGGTACAACAGAATATTTTAGGAATGTCACTTAATCATCATGCTCGAAACATAGGGTAACAATATTTTCAAACAAAGGAACATTTGCAAAACACAGCAACAGCATACACAGAAGAACCTGCTAGGAAACAATGTGATTATCGGGCAAAAACTGAATACGTTAAGCAAAAATGGATCGTCACTTCGAAAACACGTGCAGAATTAGCCATTACCGTCCACCTTAGGTAGTCTGTCGGTGTGTGGAGTAGAGGGACTAGCGTGATGGAAGAGAGGGTCACGTCCATCCTAGCTCGACTGCTTCGCCCGTTGCTTTATGTGCCT